TCATTCAGCCCAGTTCTGAGCGCGCGCTTCGCGGCGGCCCCTGGCTCGGGCGCGGGGCGGGGACCGCGAGGGGCCCCCGTGGGCGAGACCCACCCGGAGCCCACGTACGCGCAGCCCGGCGGGAAGGGACGCGGGAGACACTCAGTTACAGCTCCGTGGTGAGCGCCGAGAAACACAGCGTTCCCCTAGGTTTTGTAATTTCGGCGGTGATGTTTAAACTGAGACAAAGGCTTCTAAGACAGTGGTGCAGGAGAGTGCTCGGCGGAGCAGGTGGAGCGTGTGGACGGCTGGAGGGCCTGAGCGAATGCCCCGGCTGCTGGTCCCGGGGACTGTAGGGTGGGAGGACGCAGGTGTGGGGTTAAGGCTCACGCTTTCCGTAGGTTCTTGGGGGCTAAACGTAGGACTTTGGAGCCAGGGTGTCACCCTGGCCCGAGCTCTGCCACTTACTAGCTGTGTAAAAACTTGGGCAGGTTACTAAGCCATTCTCTGTCCTCAGTTTTCTGACCTGTAAAGTGGGGATGATTGTAAAGAGTAAATGGTAGTTAATACTGGGAAAGCACTTAGAGCAGTGTCTGGCATGTGTCATGTGTGAGTGGTGGTAGATTAAATAAATAGATAAATACACACATAAGTATTAAAGGCTTGGAGGCAGTCCTGGTGAAATTTGTGAACTTAAATGACACCCAGCTTTATTTCTTCTCCAGCTTTCAGTTGCTATTGAACACACGTATGGCACTGTTGAATTAGAAATAATTGTTCTCATGTTGACTGCTGTTTGCTGAGAGAGTCTGCAGTGCCATCTAAATTACGAGAGGGAAATAAAATACTTTTCTGTAGCACATTAGGGTTAGGCTTATTTAATATTTATTGATAATATTGGTTTACCTAATATTTATTGGAAATTTATTTTGCATACTTGCTTACTTAAAAAAGTAAATTAGCTATAAAATAGTTCAGACACAAAGAAAAGTACAGAGAAATAGTAGGGCTAGAGCATGACTTTCCTTGACTCTGACTTGGATAGTTTTTATAATTTCAGCTTTTCTCTGCCTCAGTTTCCGGTGCCCTCTGTGTCTACAAACAGTTAAACTTTGTAGGAAGTTTGGGTTTGGAACTGTGGAGAATTTAAGGCAGTAGTTTTCAACCTGAGCTGCACAACTTTGTGGCCTGTGGGGCCGGGGCCTGCCCTAGACCACTGAACAGAAGCTTCTGGCCTAGGACCCAGGCCGTGAAGACCGGGCATGTTGGCCACGTGGATGCATCCCATCAAAGCTTTTCTGCACCCTTTTTTTCAGCTTGCTTGGTCAGCTATTTCTGCTGTGCCCGCTGCAGATTTTTCCTCAGGACCTCCCTGGTTTCCTCTACCCTCTAGACACTTCCTCTAGGCTCTTACCTCTCAATTGAGCTTAGAGTTCAGTCAGTCATTCTGCCGCCCTCTTGGCAGTGACCTTATCTCCCCTGCCCTCCAGTGCTGGTAAGCCCCAGACCCTGGGTGAACCAAACTCTCCTTTTCCACCTTGGGTACTGGTGGTAGAAGTCACACAGCAGGGAGGCCTGGAACTGCTGTGAATTCATGTCAGCCAACCTTGCCTGTGCCCTTAACAGAGAATGACCATTCTAGTATGATTCTCTGGTCAACTCATGTTCCTACTCTCCAGATACTTAATTCAGACGTTTCCCACTTTCCTCAGACTTCTCCTTTACCCTCCGCTCATTCTCAAGGTTACACGAGTGAGGTTGCGGGTATTGCTGAACAAAGAAAATGGAAGGCTTCAGGTTGGAATTCACCAGCTTCCCACCCAGAAACGTAACCATCCTTTCTTGTTAGTTGTCCATGTCCTCTGGCAGAGACCACTAGAAACACGCCTGTAGTTAAACAGGCTGGCTATAGTTACCGTAGTGAGGGGAGCACTCGTAGCACGGGAACTTACGGGGCCTGTCAGTGAGAGGGAGTTAGAAAGAACTTTCAGGAGCTGGGCTGAGGTTGGATAATTTTGGGGAAAGTTCAAAGAGGTGGGGATTTGCTCTGGATTGGGTGCTGACAGGAGGAGGGGCAGTCCTGTCATCGAGCTCTTAAGTCTTTTCTCGAAGGTGTGACGGAGCCAGTCACGCATGTCAGCTGGGAGAGAGATCTGGGGTTTTGTGGGTGGCACGATGACCTTGTTTTTGTCTGTTGAGACTGAATCATGAAGCGGTCTTCTTTTGCCTCGCGTCATCACAGTGGCAGTGACCTTGTGTTGGTAACTGTGAGACTCTGCCCAGCCAAGCAGCATGGCTGTCAGTGAGGGCCAGGCCAGCACCTGGACATCAGCGCTGCTGTTCATTTTCACAGCGGGCCTGTGAGTCTTAAAAAGACATGCAGGTGTTTGCCAGGCAGAAGGAAACAGCATGAGCTGAATGGCATAGGCACTGATGCACAGTGGTGTTGGGGAGCTTGACACTGCGTGGGGCGTGGGTGGCAAGTGAGAACCGTGGGGAGGTGAGAGGACGAAATGTGGAAGGCCTGGAGTGATTAGAAATTAAAAATATATTTCTTTATTGATTTCAGAGAGGAGGGGAGCGGGAGAGAGAGAAACATCAATATGAGAGTCATTGATTGGCTGCCTCCTGCACGCCCCCTGCTGGGGATCGAGCCCGAAACCTGGGCACGAGCCCTGACTGGGAATCGAACTCTGACTTCCAGGCTCGTGGGTTGATGCTCAGCCACTGAGCCACACTGTCCGGGTCTGAGTGATTTTAAGTGGGGAGCTGAAGTGATCTGGTTTTGTGCTTTAGGGAAACTGGCAGCAGCTGTGCAAGATCTGTTCCCATTTCCTGCCCCGCGGCAGCAGCCCTTGCTCAGGTCTCCTGGCCCACCTGCTGTGTTCAGTGTGTCCTTATTTTTCTCCCTGCTTCCCATCTAAGTGTGGCCAGGGTGACTTTTCAGAACCACACACCTTATCTTGTCACTTGTTACTTAAAACCTTTTGGTTAACCATCAGACACCAGGCTGCTTGACACACCACACCTTTCGTGATCTGACCGTGGTGCCCTGGGTACTTCACTGCCCATTGCTGGTCTCCACTTGGATGTCTCAGAATGATCTCAAATTCATTATTCCAACTCTGTGCTCAAGATCACCTTCCCGTGCTCTCCTTGCCCCCCTCCACCTCAGTGAGTGGTCTGCTGTTCCTTCAGCCTCAGATTGAAAGGCAGGGTGATCCTGAGCTGTCCTTCACTCACCCTCCATGTGGTCAGTCACCAGGCCTTTGATTTTTATCTGCTGCATGTGCCTGGAATCTGCTTCCTTTTTCTTTTAATCCCCACCCAAGGATATTGTTTCCATTGCTTTTCAGAGAGAGTAGGGGGTGGGGGAGAGACAGACAGACAGAGACATCGATGTGAGAGAGACAGATTGATTGGTTGCCTCCCGCACGAACCCCAACGGACAGGGATCAGCCTGCAACCAGGGTACGTGCCCTCGGACAGAATCGAACCCAGGACCCTTTAGTCTGTGGGCTGACGCTCTAACTACTGAGCCTTTTCTTTACCTCTGCTTCTGCCACCTCTGTACATGCTAAGGCCACCTGGGGCCTGAGTTATGGCACTAGTCCACTTACTCACCTGCCCCACGTCATATCTCACTAAAGTGAGAGTTTTATTAAAGGCCCGCTTGATCGTGCCACTCCCCAGTGTGACGGCCTCTTACTGCTGTTAGAAGACCCAGCTCCTCACTTCACCTCACCCCTCCCCTCCCGTCTCCCCGCCACCCTCTCAGTTCTTCAGGCGCGTCCTGTTCCTGCCTTCCTCGGGGCCCTCCAGCGTGCTTTCCCCCCTCCCTTGCTGGAGTAGTTCCACGTCATGTCAGATTAATGCTTTCATTCAGCATTCTCTGCTGACTGCCTGCTCGAGGCACTTTGTGGAGGCACTGTTCTAGTATAGAACAGAAGTGAACAAAACAGACAGAACAGTCTCTTACAGGGCATTCGTTCCAGTGAGGCGCCAGCTGGGAAACCAGCAAGGCTTCTGGCGTGTCAGATGGTGGTCAGCGCCTGAGGACTGTTGGAAGGAGTTATCATCCGGGCTGGGACGGCCAGGGAGGGCTCCGCTGAGAAGGTCAGTGCTGGGGAAAGACTGGCGGGGCGTGAGGGAGGAGCCTGTGGATAAGTGGGGACATGGT